CCCGGCCCCCCTGGCTCCCTGTGATGCCTTCCCCACTGTGCTGGGCCACAACTGTGCCCCCAATCCCCATGGAGGGGCCAGATGACCCCCACCCCATGGGTCAGACCCTTGTTGGGGGTTATCTCTCTCCTGTCCCTTGTCTGGGGCTGGTGCTGAGAGTCTGGCTCTCTCCTGCAAGAGGTGATGGTTTTGGGGATCAAATGGGCCGGGTGTGGAGCAGAGGGGCAGGGTCTCCTGTCTAACAGTGATGCTGTTTCCTCCCACCCCAGGGAAGTGTTTCCTCTACTGCAACGGCCTCATGGACCACCTGTACGTCTGCCAGAACGGCAACGGCTGCACCGCCTGGTACAAGGCCCCCACCCGCTTCAGTGGCACGCTGGTAGGGGCTGCAGGGACCCCCTGTCCCAGATTGGGGGTTGGGCTGTCTGCCAGGGGCTGCTTGCCCGTCTCCCCTCTCTAACCCCTCTCCCTGCTGCTCCGCTCTCTCCCCAGGATGCCTTTGTGAAGATCACCCGCTATGAAGGCATCAGGTCTCTGTGGAGCGGCTTGCCCCCCACCCTGTGAGTTTGGACCCTGCTAACGCCTGCCCAGGGGTGTGGGCATCCACCCTGAGCCCCCTGCCAGCCCCTGGGGAGAGCACTCACATCCCTGACACCCCTCCTCCTCTGCAGGGTCATGGCTGTGCCAGCCACCGTCATTTATTTCACCACCTACGACCAGCTCCGGGACTACCTGCAGGCTCGGACGGGGAGCCGGGGCCACCACATCCCCTTGCTGGCTGGGGGCCTAGCCCGGCGGGCCCTCGCCAGACGTGAGTACCCCTCCTCTCCAGGGGTCCCCCTGCGTCCTCACAGGGGGTCTCCTAGCTGTCTGGTATCCACGTCTGCCACCTGGCTCTCCTGTCACGTCACTCTGGTGGCTCTGGGACAAGACAGAGCTGATGCCCAATGTCCCCTCCGTTGCAGTGGGCGCTGTGACGGTCATCAGCCCCTTGGAGCTCATCCGCACCAAGATGCAATCCCGGCAGCTCAGCTACCGCGAGTTGGGCGTCTGCATCCAGTCGGCGGTGGCTCAGGACGGGTGGCTGTCCCTTTGGAGGGGCTGGGGACCCACCGTGCTGCGAGACGTCCCCTTCTCAGGTACGGCTCTGGGAGATGGGCTGAGGACAAGCATATGGGGCAGGGCAGCCCTGTGTTTTGGGAGGGAGAGGTTGGTGTGTGTGCGTGCCTCATGGTAGCACTGGTGTTTCTTCTCTCCTCCCAGCTCTCTACTGGTTTAACTATGAGCTGGTGAGGGAATGGCTCTGCGGGCAGGCCCGGCTGGACGAGGCCACCTTCATGATCAGCTTCGCATCGGGGGCCATCTCCGGGACGGTGAGTTTGGGGCTCTGCTGCGAGCAGGGGAATGGCCCCTTGGGGACCAAGGGACGGTGCTGGGAGGTGACAGCAGGGATGGAGCTGGGCAGGGACAGCAAAGTCCCAGCTCACTGCCCTGCTGCTGGCCCTGCAGGTGGCTGCAGTGCTGACGCTGCCCTTCGACGTGGTGAAAACCCAGCGGCAAATCGAGCTGGGGGACAGCGAGGTGCACCCAGGTGAGGGGCTGGGCTCTGGGTGGGTGCCAGGGGACCCCCTGGGTGTCCCCAAACCCTCACCCGCTCCCCTCTCGCCACAGTCACAGCTTCCAAGCCCTCCTCCACCTGGCTCCTCATGCGCCGCATCCGCGCCGAGTCCGGCACCCGGGGGCTGTTTGCAGGTAAGGCCGTGCCCCCCACCCCGGGCTGGGGTTTTGGGGGTGTCTTGGTGTCACCAAGGGCCTGACGGGGGCCGTCCTCGCAGGTTT